GCGTGTGCTCATTTGTATCTCTCCACGTATATTGAAAACTATGAGTTCCACCGATAACCTCTAATTCTGATCCAACACTGTACATTTTATTCTGCTTCCCCCCTTATCTAGAACTCCTTTCTCTGACAGTGAATAACCTGCCTTCCATCATCCTGAAGCTGTTCACTTAGTTATCAGTCTTCCTCTATCCGTCCCCTCACCCAGTTCCCCAGCACTGACATGCCTCTCACTCCATCACGCTTCCCTCCCCCACAAATAGGGCAAGATCTGCCCCCCTGCTCCCTGTTCAGTCCACCTAAAGGAGGTGTCAGATGGAGACTGCAAGGCTGGGAGGGTTCCTGCTTCCTCTTTCTCTGAGTGACACCCTAGCGACAGTTCATCCCAGCATTGAAGCTCCTGGTAGTAGGCAGCTCATTCCAGCTTGGAGTTTTTCCTACGCTGGCAGGACAGCCTTGTTGCAGTCCCCTCAGAGACCTCAGCATCAGCTGGCCAGCACTCCTTCAGACACCTGAGTCCTAGCCTATGGGGCCCACCTTTGAGCTGAGAGACCCAGTACTGGCTGGCAGCGCCCCTTCCTCAGATGTCCCAGTTTCAGCTTTACTGGGCTCTTTGCCCACATTTCTAAGTTTTGAAAATTCCAACATCTTCCTTTCATTCCCCTGATCCTAAGGGTAGTGGTTGGTTGCTTCCTGCATCTGCTATCTCCATAATTTAGTGTGCCCTCTTTTTTTTTTTTTTTAACAATTCTTTATATTAAATTTTTTTGTGTAAATAACTAGTATATTTCTGTCTCCTAACTCTACCCAGTCCAGATGGCGGGGTCACCTCATTCTTTGTTAACACCCGCACTTGAAATGTCACTCTTTGCCTTTTTCACCTGCTTCCGTCCTTTCTTGTCTTGCATTATCCTGTGCTTCTTCCCCTCTTCCCAACACCTGTGTGGCTGGCAGGGTGGTCTGCCATTGTGACTTGATCATCTGTTCTGGTTCTAGCTAATGCAGTTGTTACGATTTTTATTCCATATTGTCACTGTGTCCTCAGAACCATTTGAAAATATTTGATATTTTTTAGAAGTAATATTTTCTCTTAGACTTTTCCTTATGGATTCTTGTTTTTAGTAACCATTATTTTAAAAAATTACTTTTCATTCACACAGTTGATTTCCTGTTGCTTGGTTCTCATAGTCTCTTTATCTCTCCAAGCTTTCATCTCAGGGTTGTTTCCTTCCGTAGTTCTTACTCTGTTTATCAAACTGGCCCTGGTAAAGCTGTGTCCACCCATTTCAGGGAAATTTGTACAGAACTGTTAAAATGCATTAGCAACAAAGTATGTTTTGGCACTAGAGCAGGAGGAAAGCTTGACAAGGAAGCTCAAGTAAGCTCAGGATAATTAATGTGGAAGGTGAAAGAGGCCATTCAGGTTGCAGCCCTGGTACAAGCCACTTTCTTCAGTATCTGCCTTAATCTTTACTGTGAACGAGTCCCTGACGTGGGTTGGAAAGATCTTTTGCCCATTTTATGGATGAGGAAATTTAGCACAGAGGATCTGATGACTTTTCTAGGGTGGCATAGCCACCAGGTGGTACATTCAAGACTTGAGTCTCACAAGTGGAAGCAGGCTTTTCGCCAGGCCCTCGGGGTGTGGCCTCCCCTCGCCCAACATGGGAGGAATAAGCAGAATTAGGAGAAGTACTGTTAGGCTGCTCAAGTTCATATAGATGGTTAAAACTAGAAATTAAGATAAACCTTCCACACCATACTCAAAAATACTCTAAACAACAGGTGGAATAAAAACTCAAATAGTTTTAAAAGCCATTTAGCAGAAAATAGGATTGAATATCAGATCTTCAAAAGGATGATAACTTTCTAACCTTTAATGATAAAATGACACAGGAAAGAGGAATCCTTGATTTTATTAAAAGTGATTATTTCTATAAAATAAAAAATAGCATAATTAAGATGAAAAGAGGCAACAGCATGGAGGAATGGTGTTTACAGCTATTATGTCCGACAGAGCCAAAATATAGGCTCATACGAGTGGTTAAGAAGACCAGGATATGATCAGTGGCAATTGATGAGACCATGGGGTATGCAGCTGGCCTTGGAGGACATGTTGGGGCCAAGGGGAATGTTAGCCTCCCTGGCTGTCATCAACTATGAATTTTGAAGGGATGTGAAATGTCAGTGTATGGTGGTGGGGAGGGAGAAGGAGCTGGGTGAGGGGAACCAACACTTCATGTGATTCAGGAGATACTTTTGGGAAAGCAGATTAGGAACTTTCAACTATGTCAGTGCCCTGTGGAGTGTCCTGGAGTTTCATCCTAAAAATTAAAATAGCACAGAAGCTATGTGCATGAAAATGTTCATTGCAGATTTATTTGCTATAAGAAAATAATTTTTAAAATTACACTAACCAATGTGTTCAGTTGACAAACAATTTAAAAATTTTGGTGTGTTGACTTTGTTTATGCATCTGTTAAAGTGATAATTGAGTTGTATAGAAATGTGAGAAATATAAGGAATAAAATAAGAGCAGAATACAAAGCATCTGTATGCCGGTCAAGGTGGCTCACACCTATAATTCTAACACCTTGGGACACCAAGGCAAGAGGATCGCTTGAGGGCAGGAATTCAAGACCAGCTCTGGCAGCATAACGAGACCCGCACCTCTACAAAAAATAGAAAAATTAGCTGGGCATGGTGGAGTGTACCTGTAGTCCCAGCTACTCCAGAGGCTAAGGCAGGAGGATTGCTTGAGCCCAGGAGTTTGAGGCTGCAGTGAGCTATGATCATGCATCTAGCTTGGTTTGCACAGTTAAACAGTGGCTGACAGGTGTTGCGTGTCTTTGGGGTTTTTGCAGAAGAGTCTGGGATGTGGTGTGGAACCCCTGCCAGAGCGCGTGTGCTTGTGTATGGAGCGTGGCGTGGCTCATGTGTGACTGATCGGCATCCTTTCCTTTCCCCAACTCGTTCTTTTGGTGGTGAAGTAGAGCAAGTCAAGTTTGTGATTTTTTTTCCCCCCACAGTAAAAGTAAAAAGTCACCATTTGCTTCTCTCAGAAGAAACCAAGAGAGATGGCTGTCTTCAGTGGCTGTTTAAAAAGACTTATTTCCATTAGGAATTTGGGAATGGTTATTTTTGGTGATATTGAAAGAAATGAAGATGAACTACAGATGACCCTTTAAGTTCTAGCTCAAAAGTTTTCTTAGCCTGGCCTTAAAAAAATAATAATAATGATTCAGGCTTTGTTTATTCTGTTCCTTAATCTCTATGCTGATGGGCGTTTACAGTGATGGTGGGGCCCGAGTTCATGATTCACTATCTGATATACACCAGGAACCTTCTGTTGTTTCCCTATTACTTGAGTCAGTGAACCATGGTGATCAAGCCTTAGTGTATTGAGCAACTATTTAAGGGAGAAAATAGAATTAGATTAACAATATGGAACTCAGAAGCCCAGGAAATGTCAGATTGCACATTTTTTGGAGCTAAGTGCAGACACTCTTGCAATAGTGAGAAATAATACAGAAATCTCCTGTATACTTCATCCAGTTTCCCTCAATAGTAACATTTTGCAAAACTGTAGTAATGGAGAAGTTGAAAAAGAGCTATAGAGAATAATAAAAATTAGCATAAAACGTGGATTTTGGCCCGAAGATGATCGTAAGACAGGCGTAAGAGACGTAATTGAGTACAAAGATGCTAGTCTGTGGGCAGGACGCATGGTGGCTGGGACAGTGCTGCTTCTGGAGTCAGACTGCTCGGGTTCAGGTCCTGTCTCTGCCACATGCTCTGTGTTCCTGGGAGGAAAGTACTAACATCTCTGGAGGGTTTCCTGGGGCTGCTGTCATAATGACCACAACCTGGGGTTAACACAGTGTAGATTTTTTTTTTCTGTCACGTTTCTCTCATAGAAGTTCGAATTCAAGGTGTTGGTGGGCCAAGTTCCCTCTGAGGGTTTGCAGGTAGAGCCCTCCTTCCCTTTACAGCTTCTGGTGGTTGCTGGCAGTGCTTGGCGTTCCTTGTCCCATGGTTGCACCACTCGTCTCTGCCTCCATCTTCACATGGCTTTTTTCCCGTGTCTCGGTGTCCAGATTCTTTTGTAAGGACACCAGTCTTGTTGGACTCAGGGCACATCCTGCCGCAGTGTGCTACCTCATCTTGGTTACATATATAACGACCCTGTTTCCCAATAAAGTCATGGTCATTAGACGTTACTTTTAGAGATGCCACATGGCTTATTGAGGACACTCTGGCTATCCAGGGAGACCACTGGCACTTCGGAGAATGGCACTGTCTTGGAGAACGTCTCCTGTTCCCCAGCTGCCATGGGGCTCCTGTTGTGCAGATAGGTGGAGCTCAGAGCTCACTCACACAAGGAACAGGAGCGAGCCCATGAGCTCCTCTCTCAGTAGGTGAACCTTGGCTTTGACCAGGAGGTGAAAAGATTTTATCAGAAGATTTTTGTACTGATGGTATCTGTATAGTAGATATTGAAATATGCAGTCAGGAGTCACTTAACAGTGGGAATACCTTCTGAGAAATGTGTCATTAGGTGATTTAGTCATTGTGTGAACATCACAGTGCACTCACACAAACCTAGATGGTAGAGCCTGCTACACACCGAGGCTGTATGGTGTGGCCTGTTGCTCCCAGGCTACAGACGTGCAGATGTGGCTGCGCTGAATACTGTAGGCAGCTATAAAACAATAGGAGGCATTTGTGTATCTAAACATAAAGTACAGTAAAAATATGGTATTATAATCTCATGGGACCACTGTTGTATGTGCAGTGTGTCGTTGACCAAAATGTCATTATTTGACACATGGCTGTGATTGCTTGTGATAAGCATCCACATTAATTAGTATATGTACTGACTTTCCCAAACTCTGCAGATAGTAAATCTTTTTAAGTAAAAGTATAACTTAGTATGATACCACAAATTTTTATGTAGTATCAATTTATTAGACTAAATTGTTGATTTTGCATTTTTATGTATAGCTAAACCATTTACCCAGCTGGTGAAAGACATGCAGCTTCATCGAGAAGACTTTGAAATAATTAAAGTGATTGGAAGAGGAGCTTTTGGTGAGGTAAGATAAACTTCATTTTATTAACTTGCCTAGATTGTCAAAAAAGCAACAGCTCCCATTTCACCTTTTATGGACCTATGCATTGATTTTGGGATGAAGTAATTATTGGTATAATCTCTTTTCTTTTCCTTTGGTTTTTTTTTTTTTTTGAGTTGGGGTTTCTATATTTCCCAGGCTGGCCTTGACCTCCTGGGCTTAAGTGATCCTCCCACCTCAGCCTCCTGAGTAGCTAGCTGGACTAGAGGCAGGTGCCACCATACCCAACTGGACAGTTCTTTTTTTTTTTTTTTTTTTTTTTTGAGACAGAGCCTCACTCTGTTGCCTAGGCTGGACAGTTCTTGATGGAGAAAATCTGTAAGATACAATGAAGAAGAAAAAAACAAAAAAAAACAGAAAGCTTGTGACTAGCAGATTAGCCTGAATATTATTGGGACCAAAAATAGTTTTTTATAGATATAAATAATTAATAAGAATCCATTTGTTAATTGAATTTTGCTATTTTCCTAGCATTTTCTTTTTTTTTTCTTTTGAGATAGAGTCTTGCTTTATCTCACCAGGCTAGAGTGCCATGGCATCAGCCTAGCTCACAGCAACCTCAAACTCCTGGGCTCAAGTAATCCTCCTGCCTCAGCCTCCCGAGTAGCTGGAACTACAGGCGTATGCTACCATGCCCAGTTAATTTTTTCTATTTTTAATAGAAATGGGGTCTCACTCTTGCTCAGGCTGGTCTTGAACTCCTGAGCTCAAGTGATCCTCCCGCGTTGGCCTCCCAGAGTACTAGGATTACAGGTGTGAGCCACTGCCGGCCTTCCTGGCATTTTCTGAAAAACATGAGGAGTTGCTTGTTTTTCTATTCTTGGGATACTTCACTTAGTAGAATGGGCTCCAGCTCTATCTAGGATAATACAAGAGGTGCTAGATCACCATTGTTTTTGTGGCTGGGTAGAGCTCTGTGGTATACATATACCACATTTTATTAATTTACTCCTGTATTGATGGGCACTTAGGTTGTTTCCACATCTTTGCAGTTGTGAATTGTGCTGCTATAAACATTCTAATGCAGATGTCTTTTTAAATAGAATGTCTTTTGTTCCTTTAGATAGGTGCCCAGTAATGGGATTTCTGGGTCAAATGGTAGTTCTACTTGTATCTCTTTGAGGTATCCCTGTATTGCTTTCCACAGAGGTTGCACTAGTTTGCAGTCCCACCAGCAGTGTATGAGTGTTCCTATCTCTCCACATCCATGCTGACATTGGAAAAACAAGCACCATATGTACTCACCATCAAATTGGTATTACTGACTTAACTGATCAACACATAAGAGCACATATAGTAGTAACATTCATCGGGCGTTAGGCAGGTGGGAGGGGGAGGAAGGGATGGGTATATTCACACCTAATGAGTGTAGTGCGCACCGTCTGGGGATGGACATGCTTGAAGCTCTGACTCGAGTGGGGCAAAAGCAATATATGTAACCTAAACATTTGTACCCCCGTAATATGCTGAAATAAAAAAAAAATTAAAACAGAAAAACATGAGGAAGGTTAATAATAGCAGTTCTCATGATTTGTAGCTTGCCTGCCATTGGCACCTGTGCTGTTATGAGTCCGATGGGCTCTGTGAGGGGAGAGATGGTACAGCCACCCAGCTGGGGGAGCCCTACCCTTGGGGCCTGTGGCACACAGTGAGGCCAGGACAAGGGTGTCAGGCTCCAGCTGCCTCAGGCTGTGTGGCACTGAGTCACCTGATGAGCTTCCCTTCGTAAACTGGGATGTATATTTTGATCTTAAGCTCTCCTTGCCTGGGGAACTGTGCATGTTGGTTACTGAGGAAAAATTGGGCAATAACAATCTTTGTCACATGGCAGCAGCAGGTGCCCATGCAGAGCTGTGTAGTCACAGCAGCACCCATCCAAGAGTGTGGTTCTGAGAGGCGGGAAGAAGCATACCAAGGTGGAGAGATAGCGATTGAGAGGGAAAATGAAAGGATGAGAGAGAAAATTATTTTTCTTAAATAGTTTGTAGTTTTTAGTGCTCTTCTTTGCCAAAGAACTGAATGCAAAACTCAGTTTTATGAGTTTCAAAAAAGATGGCATTGATCACCTTTCAGATTCCTCCCCAATTAAGGAAATGCTTCCTTTTTGGCCTGGCCTTCTCTCTTTTCCCTTCACTCGCTCTCCATGCTTTAGCAACTCATAAATGCCCCCAACCCTGAGTCGTCCCTTGGCATTAACACCATCCACCAGTGTTCTTTCAGGGTCCCAGTGGATTCTGTAGCTAATGTCACTTATCATTCTGTGGCTCCCTGGGCTGTTCCTGTAGTCACCTGCCTGAACTGCGCCTGATTTCAGCCTCTCTGTCTCTGAAAGCACTAAGTGAGTGACAGAAGTGAGGACCAATGATGTGTTCTTCACATACGGTTATAATCGAATAATATTTTTTTAATGCTAAGCTAAAGGAGGGCAAGTGTCTGCTGGGTCTGCAGTGGAGCACAGGTGTACCTGCAGCCCCCAGGCAGGAACTTGCAGAGTCCGGAACTGTGTGCACACCACTGGTCTACATGGAGTGTTGTGAGCATAGCAAACGTACATCCCTAACCCCTAATCCCCCCACCAAGGTTAGAGAAACATTTCTAGATTATTATTTAAACAAGGTTCAAGATATTTGGGGTATTGTCCTTTTCTAGAGCATAATGGCTTTGAAAACACCTTCTCAGTATCTTGGGGACAGCCTAGTCCAGGAAGTTTCTTTGATGCTGGCACCCACTCTGGAAGGGTGGTTCCCTAGCTAATTCGAGGCAGTGCCAAAGGTGTGCCTGGGGGATAGCAGCAGCCAGCAGCTCACTGGGCCGTGTGTGGTGTGCGTGACACGCTTCACCTGAGTCAGTGCATGCTGGAACCTTCTAGCTGCTGACGGTACCACTCACACAGCTACTGCTCCACTGGAGAGATGAGAAACAGTCCCAGAGCAGTGAGCCGTGGTCCCAGGGTGGGCTGTGGTAGGCTGGACTTGAATCCCCCCCGCCTGACCCAAAGCCTATGTACCCAGTCACTCTGCCTACTGTCTCTCTTGTTCCTAGAATTGCTTAAAAAAAAAAAAAAAAAGACGACAATGACAAAACAAACTTTACATTGAAACAATTTAAAATTATCAGAACACTTGCATCAATAGACTGGTCCACAGAACACCAGTCTGACCCTCTACCTGGGTTTCCTTTTGTGAACATCTTTGCATGTGCTCTGTCCTTGGGGATATTGTGCTCTTCTTTGTCAGTTGTGCCCCCCCCCACCTTGTTCTGTGTGTGTGTGTACACACACGTTTTTCTGAACCACTGAGAGTAAGCTGCCTGTGTGAAGGGAGACTGTTTACCCTACACACGCACACCTTGGAGATACTGTAGGCTCAGTTCCAGACCATTCCAATAAAGCAAATGTCACAATAAAGCAATCCACACAATTGTTTTGGTTTCCTGTTGCATATAAAGTTATGTTTATACTGTAATATAGTCTATTAAGTGTGTAATAGCATGTGTCTAAAAACAGTATACACACCGTAATTTAAAATTCCTTATTGTTAAAAAATGCTAGTGATCATCTGAGCCTCCAAGGAGTTATTATTTTTTTTGCTAGTGGAAGGTTGTGCCTCTGTTGATGGTGCTGACTAAGATGGTGGTTGCTGAAGGTTGGGGTGGCTGGGGCAGTTTCTTAAAATGAAGTTTGCTGTATTGGTTAACTCTTCAAGAAACATTACTTTGTAGCATGCGATGCTGTTCCATAGTGGTTTGCAAACAGTTGAACTTCTTTAAATATTGGAGTCAATCCTCTCAACTCCTGCTGCTGCTTTATCAACTAAGTTTATGTAATATTCTAAATCCTTTGTTGTCATTTCAGTAATGTTCATAGCATTTTCACCAGGAGTAGATTCCATCTCAAGAAACCACTTTCTTTGCTCATCCATAAAAAATAACTCCTCATTTGTTCAAGTTTTATTGTGAAATTGCAGCGATTCAGTCCTATCCTCAGGCTCCACTTCTGATTCTAGTTCCCTTGCTGTTTCCACCACATCTGCAGTGACTTCCTCCCCTGAAGGCTTGAACCCCTCAAAGTTATCTGTGAGAGTTGGAATCTACTTCTTCCAAATTCCTGTTAATGTTGATATTTTGACCTTCCCGTGTGAATCACAAATATTCTTAATGACATCTAGAATGGTGAATCCTTTCCAGAAGGTTTTCAATGTATTTTGCCCAGATCCATCAGAGGAATCGCTGTCTGTGGCAGCTGCAGCCTTATGAAATGTATTACTTGAATAATAAGACTTGAAAGTCGAAATTATCCATGGGCTGCAGAGTGGGTGTGTGTTAGAGGCATGAAAACAGCACTCATCTCCTTGCACATCTCCATCAGAGCTCTTGGGTGACCAGGTGCTTTGTCAGTGAGGAGTAATATTTTGAAAGGAATCTTTTTCTGAGCAGCAGGTCTCAACAGTGGGCTTAAAATATTCAGTAAACCATCTTGTAAACAGATGTGCTGTCATCCAGGCTTTGTTATTCCATTTCTAGAGCACAAGCAGAGTAGATTTAGCGTAATTCCTAAGGGCTCTAGGGTTTTCAGAATGGTAAATGAGCATTGGCTTTGACATAAAGTCACCAGCTGCATTAATCCGTAACAGGAGTCAGCTTGCCCTTTGAAGCCAGGCATTGACTTCTCACTAGCTTTGAAGTCCTACATGGTATCTTACAATAGAAGGATGTTTAATCTACATTGAAAATATGTTGTTTAGTGTAGCCACCTTTATCATGGATCTTAGCTGATCTTCTCAGTAACTTCCTACAGCTTCTATATCAGCCTTTGTTCCTTCATCTTGCACTTTTGTGTTATGGAGAAGGCTTTTTTCCTTAAACCTCATGAGCCAACCTCTGCTAGCTCCAACTTTTCTCTGCAGCTTCCTCATCTCTCTTAGCCTTTATAGAATTGAAGAGAGTTAGGGCCTTGCTCTGAATTAGGCTTTGGCTTAAGGGAATGTTGTAGCTGGTTTGAATTCTATCCAGACCACTCAAACTCTCTACATATCAGCAGTAAAGTGGTTTCACTTTTTTATTATTTGTGTGTTCAATGGAATAGAACTTTTAATTTTTAAATTTCCTTCAAGAACCTTTCCTTTCCTTTCCTTTCCTTTCCTTTCCTGTCCTGTCCTGTCCTGTCCTCTGTCCTTTCCTCTTCCCCTTTCCCCTTTCCGTTCCCCTTTCCTTTATCTTCCCTTTTCTTTTCCCCTTTCCTTTCCCCTTTCCTTTCTCCCTTCCTTTCTCCCTTCCTTTCCTCTTTCCTTTCCTTTCCTCCTTCCTTTCCCCTCTCCTTTCCCCTCTCCTTTCGCCTCTCCTTTCCCCTCTCCTTTCCCTTCTCCTTTCCTCCTTTCCTCCTTCCTTTTCCCTCTCCTTTCCTCCTTCCTTTCCTCTTTCCTTTCCTTTTTCCTTTCCTTTGACAGGGTCCCTCTCTATCACCCAGGCTGGAGTACATTTGTATAAACATAGCTCACTGCAGCCTTGGACTTCTGGGCTCAAAGGATCCTCCCACCTTGGCTCCCAAAGTGCTGGGATTACAGGTATGAGCCACTGTCTGCTGTGCTTGGCCAAGAACTTTTCCTTTGCATTCACAACTTGGTTAACTGTTGGGCACAAGAGGCCCAGCTTTCAGCCTTTCTCGGCTTTCTACATGCCTTCTTCAGTAAGCTTAATCGTTTCTAGTTTTTGATTTAAAGTGAGAGACATGTGACTCTTCATTTCCTTTCACTTGAACAGTTAGAGGCCATTGTGGGGTTATTAATTGGCCTAATGTCAGTATTGTTGTGTGTTAGGAAATAGGGAGGCCTGAGGAGAGAGAGGATAAGGGTTTGTGCTGGTTTGTGGAGCAGTCAACACATAACATTTATCGACTAAGTTTGTCGTCTTATATGGACATGGTTCGTGGCACCCCAGAACAATTACAGTACCAAAGATCACTGATCACAGATGAGCATAACAGACATAATAATCATGAAAAGTTTGAAATGTGAGAATTACCGGAATGAGACACAGAGGCGGGCAGTGAGCATGTGCTGTTGGGAAAATGGTGCCAATAGACTTGCTTGATGCAGGGTTGCCACAAACCTCCAATTTGTAAAAAACACAGTAAAACGATGTATGCCTGTCCTTCAGTGCTTGTTTTCTAGTAGGGGTCATCTTTTACACAGCCACAGTTTGTGTGTTTTCATTTTAAACTGATTGAGTTGTCCTTACACCACAGTTTGTAGTTGGCCCAATGATGTTCTTTATGACGTTGTTTTGCTTTTGCTTTTTCCCTCAGTACAGGATCTGGCTGGCACCAGGTACTATACTATACCATTGTGTCCTAGGATCACTTTGTGACATTTTGTAAAATTATTTGGGCTTTTATTCCTTTGCCGCAATGTGTCATTTTGGAGATATTTTTGGGATCGTCATCTCTTTGAAACCATTAAAACTGAGTTTTTGGCCAGGAAGAAGTTTCTGATAAACCAAACAAGATTTTCTATAAATTCTTTATTCTATAGATTGTATTGCAATAGGAAAAGCTTATTCAGTATACAGGATTTTTTTTTTTTTTGAGACAGAGTCTCACTTTTTGTTGCCCAGGCTAGAGTGAGTGCCGTGGCGTCAGCCTAGCTCACAGCAACCTCAAACTCCTGGGCTCAAGCGATCCTCCTGCCTCAGCCTCCCGAGTAGCTGGGACTACAGGCATGCACCACCATGCCCGGCTATTTTTTTGTATATATACTTTTAGTTGGCCAATTAATTTCTTTCTATTTTTTTAGTAGAGACGGGGTCTCGCTCAGGCTGGTTTCGAACTCCCGACCTTGAGCAATCCGCCCGCCTCGGCCTCCCAGAGAGCTAGGATTACAGGCGTGAGCCACCGCGCCCGGCCCAGTATACAGGATTTAAAAAAAAAAACATTAAATTTTACTTTTACTTATTTCTTATTGATTTGACAGATATTTTTTTGTGGACAGTTACATCTTTCCATGTTTTTATCTGAGCCATTTTGTATGGTTTCTAGAAATAGTCTGTGCCCTAGTATGCCTGGTTTAAAGAATTAAGCTTTCCTTATCTCATCTTGGCCTTTTGGCTAAGAGTAAGTGAAGAATTAAGCTTCCGAGTAATAACTCAGTGTTGTTCATCTCATTCTCAGATCTGGATTGTTTTTGAGGTTGTCATCTTTAGAATTTCAGTGTTCTTCTTCTTAAAGGTTATCAGCTCTGCTATTCCTTCTAAGGTAGATCATTTCTGTAGCAAATATTATAGAGCTTTTAAAAATGCTGATATCTCACTTTACCTAGATGATAGCTAATCCCCAGGAAGAAGCAGATGCTCCCACTGTAGTAGTAAAGTACGTACCCCTATTTCACACACAGGAGAGCTTACTCTCTATATTTAGACACTATTTGTTTTCAGTGTATTCAAAATTGCATCAGATTTGTAATTGGTGTCTCAGACCATAGTTAATACTCAGTAGCTCAGGTGTGACTAGGGAAGCCCCCACCGCAGGGAGCCATGAGGGAGGTGGCCAGCTGGGGAGAGCTGACTGGGAGCCCTGAGACGTAGGGCAGGTGCCCTGACCCTCAGCCAGCTCTGGGGTCATGTTGGGGCATGTTCATTGTGGATCCCCCATTGTTGCCAAGGGAAGACTAATTGTGACTGTCACTATGATGTAGTCTTTAAAAGCCTGTGCTTGAGAGTGTCCCAAGCCTCAAATACCATGTCTATAAAGTATAAAGTTTAAAACCCCCACCACCTAGGATTGTTGTGAGGATGAAATGAGAGTACACATAAATTGCTTAGCACGGTTTCTGCCACCTGGAACATGCCCAGTACATGCTAGCTCTCATGAGTACTTGACAGCATTATTATGTAATATATGATATTTAGAAAGACAGGGAAGTAAATAATGCCATTTAAGAACTCTTTTCCATATTACTGCATGCCGTTGCCAGCCAAAAGGTACAGAAGTCACCGTCACTGCCATTGAGAGGCGTACAGTGCCGTAGTGGGAACTTGGGCGAATGAATGGTTGATTTACCTGGGCTAGAATGTGCCAGACAATAGTGCAGACACCATGACAGGTGTTGGTAGTGATGGAAGAGCTCATTCAAGATTTGGCAGAGCCCGAAAAATCCAAGAGGACTTCCTGAAAGAGGTAGCTCTTGAGTTGTGCCTTGAAGCACATGGCTGTCGGCCAAGATTCTGGGTGCTGACGTCACATGACTTAGTTGGGCCTCACAGCTGTCTCAGGAGGCCTGTCCTGCTCTTATCCTCTTGTGTAGCTGTGGTAACTGAGGCACAAACGAGAATTTGCCCAGGTTACACTCCAGAGCTCACGCAGTTACTACCCATGAAGAAAAGATTCTCAGTGCGAGAACGGTGGGCGCCGAGGTAGAAATGAGCGCTGGCTGCAGAAGGGGAGGTGAGGAGGGCACCTGCGGGGCCTTGGAAAGCAGGGAGGAAACCGTGGGGCCAGTAATGAGTTTTACAAGGTGAGCTTTAAAAAAAAATTATTGATACATAATATTTGTACATATTTATGGGCTATATGATACTTTGTTACGTGCACTGACTGTGTAATGATCAAGTCAGGGTGTTTAGGGTGTCCCTCACCCCCAGCGTGTGTCATTTCTGTGTGTCAAAAACATTTCAGGTCCTCACCTTGAGCTATTTTGAAATACACAATACATTGTTGTTACTATAGTCACCCTACTCTGCCATGGAACTTTAGAACTGTTTTTCTTTCTTTTTTTTTTTTTTTTCTTTTTCAATGAAAATCTCCAGACATAACCCAAAGTGGAGGACAGTTAGCCCCATGTGCCCATGTCACTCAGTGCTGGAGTTGAGTGAGCGAGTGGTATCGTTCAAGTTGCAAGGGTGTTAAAAATCAAGTTTCAACACATAAAAGGACAAATTTTTATTTGTGTAGAAAACTTCACTTTCCTTCACAGCATATTTCCCAGGCAATTAAGGTTTTACTGTGGTTGTATTAAAATGTGCTCGCCTTTTGTTCCACTAACTAAATTTCTATTAAACTCACGTTTGTATTCCAGGTTGCTGTTGTCAAAATGAAGAACACTGAGCGAATTTACGCGATGAAAATCCTCAACAAGTGGGAGATGCTTAAAAGAGCAGAGGTACGTATAGAGTATGTAAAAAAAATAAAAATGGGGTTTTGTGTGAGTGAGAAGTGACAGTGAAGCCCAGCCGGGTGAAAACCGCAGTCACCTTGCTGCCTTCCTTGTGGACTGAGCTGGTCTCTGTCAGTAAGTGCTGGCATCCTCCTGGCCTCTGCCGCTCTCCTTAGTGGCGCTTGCTCATGTACCAGGCTCTGTGCCGGAGAGGACAGCCTCAAGTGTGGTGGCCGGAGTGGGGTTTGCTGTAAAGGCATATTAAAACCCCCATGGAAGTTTTAGGCATTTATCAAAGTTCCGCTCCATCTGCAAAAGGAATTACTGAGTTTGGAGCCTGCTTACATAGTTCCACTTAGAGGGAGAGTCGAGATTGTAAGTACAAGTTGATTACTGTGTTTGGTAGTCTCTAACACACTTCCTCTTGGTTCAGTGTCAGTCCTTGCAGTGGCTGTTTCATGCTCCTGACCCCATCTCTGTAGCCCCACTTTCAGCCCCTGGCCTCCCTCCCAACCCAACTGGTCTGGCCAGGCTCCTCCTCTGGCCATCTCCCTGCTCCATCCTCACCCGCATTTTCTGCCTCAGACCCAGGTACCCTTCCTGGCCAGTTTCCTGCTGCTCCGTCCTTTCAGCTCTGCTTGATTTCTCTCAGTTGACTCATTCCTCTGCCAGAAGGCTCTTAGCGCCTGTGGCAGTGGCTTGCTGCGCCCCCTGTGTCTCTGTAACCTGCGCTCTGCCGCGCCACTGTGGCTGCATTCCAGGGCTGCTTGGCTTTGTAGCCAGGTGCTCCCCTCCAGAGTCCAGTGCCTCCACCTCTTTTGGAAAGTCTTCTTTGGCTTCTAGCCTCTCTTACCCTACCACTCACATCCTCCTAGTAATGACATGTTCATCTTTCATCCTGGAATTCTTACAGCTGCCACATTGGGCAGATAATACAACCATTTATTTAGGTCAGATCTCTCCTAAGCTCCATTCAGGTTTTGTTTGTTTGTTTGTTTTGCAACAGGGTCTCACTCTGTCACCTGGGCTTGAGTGCAGTGGCAGCATCCTAACTCAGTGCAACAACCTGAAACTTCTGGGCTCAAGCGATCTTCCTACCTCAGCCTCCCGAGTACTTAGGGCTACAGACATGCACCACAACACATGGCTAATTTTTGTATTTTTTATAGAGAGGAGGTTTTGCTCTTGCTCAGGCTGGTCTTGAACTCCTGGCCTCAAGCAGTCCTCCCACTTTGGCCTCCCAGAGTGCTGGGATTACAGGCATGAGCCACAGCACACGGCCCATCTGGGTTTTTGTTAACTTAGTGGGTGTTCTCACTCAGCATCCTTCGGTGCCTCAGGATAATGTAGGATAATCATCGTGACTAGCAGACATTCTTGCACTTCTCTGAATATGTCACTTATATTGGATCTGTGTAACCAGATTCAAATGAAATCATCGATCTCAAAGTCACTTATGGTCTGGTCCTTTTTTTTTATCCATACTCATTTCCTCTTCCATATTGTGGCATCCGGCACAAGATATTATGCCCATTTATTGCTCAATAAATGCATGTTGGTTGATGGAGTTATCACCATTTTGTAGTCACTTGGGCCCAAAATGTTGGTGGCCTTGACTGCTTCAACCACCAGGTTTTACATCCTCCACGTTGCACACACAGTCTTCCTTCCTTTCTTCCCTCTTTGCCTTGGTACTCTTCCCTTCCATCCTTACTCCATCATCTTATCTCGTGCTTCCTCCAGCCCCTGCCCCCAGACCACCCCCCCAGCCCAACAGCCCCACAGCCCCACACACCCCCACTGGAACTGTGACAAACTCAGGAACATCACTGAAGCAATTTTTTTTATGGGGGAAAAAAGGCTACTATTACATGAAAGTTTGAGGAGATACAATGTGTTTGGTATTTACCCAACTGTGGTGGTGGATAAGTAAAGTTTAGGAGTGACTAGTGCTGATTTGTTTTGAATCTGGTTATACCAATCCAATATAAGTGGCATACTCAGAAAAGTCCAAGAATGTCTGCTGATGATTATTCTAGACTATATATAATGGGATATACGTATGTATGAGATATATAAAAACATATATGTATTGATTATAATGCTAGTTGTAAATAATTTATCTTTTTATTCTTAATAGACTTATTTTAAACTTTAAATTTTACATTGACTTATAAAAAATTTTCTTTAAAAGCAGGAATTAAACAAGAAGTTACGCAGTAGAAAAATTGCTAAGCAGTGTAAGTTCATAACTTTTAGACCAGGCTAGGTCTTTATTTGACCTTTATTGGTCAAAAAATACTAAAAGTTTCTCTGCTCTTTAAATAAAATAAAACTAAACTGCTGAATAACACGTCTGTCCTGTCAGTAGGTCTCCGTGCAGACAGCCCCCAATTTAAGAGTTTGTTTTATGCAAATGTGGGTAGGTTGATGCCAAGCGTGCAGATGCATTGCGTGGTCTCCTCTTGGGAGCTGCGTACAGATGCTGCGGGGCGCGGGCTGCCCGGCCTCTGAAGCCTGCAGGCGGGCCTTGCCCGGGACTCACTGCATCACCGTGTCCTCCGGGCAGTGGGCCTGGAAGACAAGAGGTCGGGCGCACCAGTGCTGTGGTTTTCCTCCAGCTGTCCCCTCAGTGGGCCCTGTGGTTGGGATGGCCCTTGACAAAGGGGTCCAGTGTTTCCAGAACTGCCTATCTCTGCACCTCTGGACCTTAGAAGCTGATGGTTGACCCCCCCCACCATGTTGTAACAACTGGTGTCAGGATACATCTACCTCAGCCATTTTGTTTTGAAAGGAAAAGTTCTTAAAAGTTCAGGAAAGAAAATCTTGTGGAAAAAACAAATTACTGAGGTCACCGTGAGACTCTCATGTGAGAGGCAGTCGAACTTGGGGTCCAGTGCCTCACCAAGAAGCTGGTGTGGCTGAACTTTTTTCTTTTTAAGCTTTACAAGTTTCAAATATAAGAAAGTTTAAATCTTGCTATGTTATGTGCTCAATAAAGAGGAAATTTTACTATGATTATACTGAAGACCTGCTTACTTTTAAATAGAAGGTGCAGCCTGTGTGTTACAGCTTTTTTTTTTAAAAAAACCACAGCAGCCTAAAAAGGTAGCCTTTTACCCGTACGTTCCTGGCAGTAGGTCTACATAGGAGAATCCTGTAGCGTTCACAGTCGTCAGTGTACTGTGAATAAGTTGAGTTTCCTGGAGCAACTGACGCGCTCAGTGCATGGGTGTGTGCCCTCGGTGTCGGTGGGGGCAGCACAGACTCCGGCACCTTGAGGAGGTTGATCTGGTGGGGAAGGCAGGTGATGCTAGACGGAGGAGCCCGCCAGGGGACTACTGCTTGAGTCCAGCGTGAGGATGGGGCGAATCTGAGGCTGGCTCAGAATTGGGCTGTTGGGGAGGGGACGGTGGCGTGACTACATTCTCAGTAGCCTCAGGTGCTTGCGTGGGGCTCGGGAGTGGAAACAGAGAGATGGCTCCGCGTTGGTGCTACAGAGCCTAAGGATGCGTTTGGTTCCTAGTAAGGTGAGGGACTGACTCCGTGCAGCCTGGAAGTGGGGGGGACACTCTCTGGAGCCTATCGTAACTGGGACCCCAACATCAGGAATGTGCTCTGGGACATTTTCCTGGTGGTGCGGGCTGATGCCTCTTCTGCTTTGCAGACGGCTTGCTTCCGAGAGGAGCGTGACGTGCTGGTGAACGGGGACTGCCAGTGGATCACCGCGCTGCACTACGCCTTCCAGGACGAGAATTACCTGGTACGTTTGTGCTGCCAGAGCCCAAAGACTCTCGATCCGGTGATGTTTCACTTAAGTTTTTGGATTCCTTTGTGCTGCCACTAAAAATTAAATAAGACGATTTATAACTGACATTATAAAAATGTAAACTGGACTAGATAAAATGGAGGGGTTTGTTTTATTGTAGTAATTGTCAGGCAGGATGTTTTCTTAAATAGACTTATGAAAGCATGTATTTAATTTTTCTCTAATCACTAGGTAACCCGATTACTTTGTTCACTGGGTTTATAACATTTAAGTAAGCTGGGGCTTGAAACATTACCAATCTTGTATTACGTATAAGACCAAGGAATTGCCACGGGGATTTACACAGTTGCAGCTCTGCACCAGCGAATGCCCCAGTCCCCACAGTGGAGGAGCTGCCCCAGGAGGCATGCAACACAGTTTTTAGGTGACTTGGTTTCCACATGTCTGTCATCGGTCTTCTGACTTGAGCAAGGATAACTTAAGTGCTGCGTCATCAGGGTTGGGATCCACACGTTGTGTGGAGTTGATCGTGGTCGCCTTGTGAAACACTTGCGGGACAGCTAAGGGGAAGTGAGGGGGAAACCGGACCTTTGGTCTCAGGCACTGAGTGACCCTCAAGACTGCTTTGTTCAGGACTTTTTATTCCTATAGTGACTTTCCAGGCTTACTAAAACCTAAAAGTGCCTACCTCGTGGAGCTCTCGGTAGATGGGCCTGTGTAGACTTCAGAGAAGCAGGTCTGGGCTTAACTCCCTCTGGCTGGGACTGTGTCTGCAGCAGCAGCAGCAGCAGCAAGGGGGTATAATTGCCATTGTCACCACGGTCTCAGAGCAGGCACTGAAGGCTCTTTTCTCTTTCCATAACAGCCACTTCCATGTTCACACTGAAACTGCTTGGTCTTGTGCTCCCCATTGGTTCACAAGAACTAGAATAATGTAGGATTTCTTTTATTCATCTTAAAATAATGTCTTTCAAATATCAAAGAAATCCCTAGGATTGGAAAGTAAGGATTAGGTAAAACAGTGTGTTTTATTCTTTTAGAATTTTGAAAATATGTATTTGTTTCAACAGAGGGCAGCTGGCGTTTACTGAGCATGTATGACGTTAGGCCCGTGTGTTCTCAGTCTTCCTGACAGTCCGGGGAGTTTGGCCTCCGTGATCATCACCATTTCATAAATGGGGCATCTGGGCCACAGGGAGGTGAGATCACTTGCCCAGGGTGAGCGCACAGATGACGGCAGTTGTGCCCGGTCCCAGCCTGGCCTGTCTGGCAGACCGCAGCACCCTGATGCTATGGGGCTGCCTCCACATAAACCCCCACTTCCTGGGTCAGTGTCCCTACTCTCAGGACCCAAGTGGACTGTCTCCAGTTATTTCCTCTTTGATAAGAACTGAATGATATTTCCAAGTGGGATTAGGCCACATGGATCTCTACAGAGGAAGACAATGATTTTGTTTTGCTTCTAATATTTTCCCAAAATCAGCATAGTATGCTATTGTCTAAAATGTTAGGATTTACCAGATTTATTCTAAGTTAAGACACATAAATTAGCCATCTCAGTGAAGATGCTGCTGCCTGAGTTTTTGGAGTTGCCCGGTTAGAAGTGCCACGAAAACAGAGTGAGAGAAAGTGAGGGCATCAAAGGTTCCCGGTACGTGACTGCGGGTCCAGTTCCTGGGGCTGCAGACCTGCCGCCCATGGGCAGGTACATATGGGCAGGTTCCTCCCTCCTCGGTGGCTGTGAGGGAGGCAGGAGGCAGCGTGGAAAGCACACAGCCAAGCGTGAGCGGAGGCTGGCATTAGGTGTTTCACTCGGCCCCTCGGGCTGCCCACAGAGCTGGCTCAGGTCATGGCGTCTGTTATAGGTGTCTGACTTGGAGTTTTATAAAAATTAAACCTGTTTCACCACTAACTAAAGGGCATTGCCTTAGTGACTTAACTCAGAATCCTGGGTTACACGACAGAGTGACGAGTCGGTATAGTTCTTACTCCAGAAGTAAGTTTCTGCCTGTCTGCCTGATGAGCCCTTGCAGCTTATGTTCCTTACGCACTTGTTTTCCAGGTGCCGGATTTCCATCAGCCAGATTCAGCACTGCTGTAGTACACTTTTTGTTTTCTTTTTAGATTTCTAGGTAGACACGGGAACAATTGGGGCTCAGCTAGAAACTGTTTCTGTGACTTTGTTCAGGGCCCTAAGATCTTGATTGTTCCTTCACCTCCTCTCCCCTCACTGCGCCACCTCTATCAGCAGCCGCTGCAGCCTGTCCCTTCAGAGGTCTCCAGGGCCCGCCGCCGCCTGGGCTGCGTCGCCCTGCCCCATCAGAGAAGGCCTTTGAACGCAGTTGGGTTGTGTCACTCGACTGCTCTTAGAGTGGAGCCACAGTCCCCACTGTGGCCAGGGCCCCACCGCTGGGCTCCAGCCAGTCATCCATTTCCATCCCTCTGGCATGCGCCTTCCTCCGGCCTCTCTGCACACTCCCTGTGTCTGGACACGACCCCCAGCTGCCCTTTGGGCCTCGGCTCAGCATTCTCTGGGTGTGGTGTAACGACTGCACTGGGTGGCCTGTGGCTGTGCTGGCACTTACCGCTCTCTGATCTTGGTGCATGCCCCGGTCTCTCCCTCCACACAGCGTGAGGTCTCTGAGTGAGGACCTTGTCCACACCAATGTCCCTGTCACCCAGAGGGGTGCCAGTAGGTATACTGTTGAGAGTGAGAGAGTGAACATCCACTGAGAGTGTTCTGTGTGGCGGGAGTTGGGTGAGAGGTGGCAGGGACAGAGAACCGTTAGCTCGGGACTCTTGCCCTGAGAGCCAGTTGCCTGGAAGGGATGGGGCAGTGCCTGCGCTGGGCAGGGAGACTTCAGGTGGGACGGTTGGAGAGAGTCTTGTAAGCAGGTTGAGACCGTTGCTGGTGAGGGTTCTGTTTGAGAATAGGGACCTGAAATGAAGGCTTCTCTTGTTTCCTTAGGTCTAGGCGGGGCCCACTCCCTTCCTGAGGCAAGCCCGCCGGCACAGTGATTCCCTTTCTTAGGAAACACTGCAGCGTTGGGTTGCAGGCGACAGGTGCTGGAGTCTGCCTGCTTGGGTCTGTCCGGTCCTCGCTCTGTCACTTGCTCGCTGCTGACTCTGGCCACGTCGCCAGGCCTGTGTGAAACGGACTCCCGAGGGTGCTGGGGCTGGGGTTGACCAGGGACGCTGGGCCTGCTTCCTGCAGCCTGCGGGCCCGAACACTGGTTGCACAGTGACTGGTGTGTCGTTATTGTTAGGTTCTCCATGAGTACGACACGATTATGTCTCTGCCTAAGTTAACAAGGTATTTCCTCCCTGTGCGAGTAGTTAAAAGTGAGCTGTTCAGACCGCGGCACTCGTGTCTTCCCAGGAAGTTGGCACCAGGGAAAGCGATTACTGCGAGGCTGAGGCTGCCCGTTTCTTCAGTGGTCTCCAAGGCTTCGCAGCCCCGGGCAGTGGAGGTGTTGCTGCCACTTGGACTCTGGCTTTGATGTCTTGCCCGTCCTGGGGTGAGATGCCCCATCAGGGCCTCCACCGCCCTGGCTTCATGGTGTGAGTCTCTGCACTCCGCACGCAGGGGCGGAGCCCTGCCGGCAGGCTCTGAGGGAAGAATGGGCTTAGCACCCATAGTGGGAGACATTTTCCTCCTGTTGCTCTAATTTCTAGTTAAACAACAGCTTTTCTTATTTTTCTGTGAGGATAAACTTCTAAGTACTCATTTTCAGCTCTTTTCATGATATCATCTTTCCAGTAATGGGCTGTATCACCTGTGGTTTTAGATAATTCGCCTCCCTTCCCTGGTCCAGTGTCCTTTTGGAGAATTATTTTTAAACCCGGTAGGATTTGATGGGCCATTAACTTGCTTCTACTGTGGGTCACTAGCTTTTAGAGTGCCTTGCCAGCCTTGAACCCTCCAATTGTTTCTTTCATTGGTTAAATGTATTATTTATTGACATCTGTTCTCTGCCATATGCATAACTTGAAATTACAGCAGTGTGCAGTTCATCGGGGCTCGTATTCTGAAAGGGTCAGTCCTGGAGGACAGAAGAGCAACTGAGAAGCCGTCAGTCCAGACTTGAAGAGTCTAAGAACTTCCACAGTGGATGTTTGGCTTTGGTCAGGTCTGGTGGTGACTCAGTTTTGTATTCTCCCCCTCTTTCCAATTTGTAGTACTTAGTCATGGATTACTATGTGGGCGGTGACTTACTGACACTACTCAGTAAATTCGAAGACAAGCTTCCGGAAGACATGGCAAGATTCTACATCGGGGAGATGGTGCTGGCCATCGACTCCATCCACCAGCTCCATTACGTGCACAGGTAACGCTCTCCAGCACCTGGGGTGGAAGCCTCATTGGGTGTGTTAAAGCACTCCTTTCAGGGTTCCCTGAGTCGTATGCCTCAAGTTTCAGGCTTCCCAAGAAGCTGTGCAGGTAGTGAGTCCTCATTTTGAGTGGCCACAGCACAGATGCTAGCTTTTACTGTTACAGTTTTGGTAGTCTAACTCACCTTGTCTTTTTTTTTTTTTTTTTTGGAGACAGAATCTCACTCTGTTGCCCGTGCTAGAGTGCCATGGCATCAGCCTTGCTCATAGCAACCTCAAACTCCTGGGCTCAAGCAATCCTCCTGCCTCAGCCTCCCGAGTAGCTGTGACTACAGGCATGTGCCATCATGCTCAGATAATATTTTCTATATATTTTTAGTTATCCAGCTAATTTCTTTCTATTTTTAGTAGAGACGGGGTCTCGCTCTTGGTCAGGCTGGTCTCCAACTTCTGGTCTTGAGCGATCCACCTGCCTCAGCCTCCCACAGTGCTAGGATTATAGGTGTGAGCCACCATGGCCAGCCTGTCTCCACGTTTTTTCTCAGCTCTGCTCTGCTCTAGGGTCCACACTGACCCGTAAAGGGCCAACAGTATTGATCACCCCATGAAACACTCACAAAGGAAAGATGGGATTGAGACAGAGGGGTTTACATCACAGCAACATAAAGGACTTGGACTGTGTGATCATAGGACTCTGCTGAGGACCCTCTGTATGGGGTGGAAATGGGAGCAGGCCCCTCCCTGGGCCCACTCTGGTGTCCTCACTGGGAGGGCAGGGCAGTGATGACTCGGACTCTTAGCATCCGTCCGTTCTGAGACTAGAAGATTCAGTCCTATGGTTTGTTTTGGGTTTTGGTTTTTTAAAAAACTGGTTTTACTTGTATTTTTATATGGTGATAGTTTTTAAAGTCAGGTAGTTCTGCAGAGCTTACAAAAAAAAAAAAAAGTGAGCCCAGCACTGCCACGTTCTGATTTCACTTGCTCAGGTAACTGTTGTGAACCTTTTAGCTGCCTTCATATTTCTAAATGACAGGCTTATTTTGATCCTTCCTTCCAATTTAACTCTTACATAATTACCTCCCTCCCCCCTTCCCTCTCCCTTCCCCTTTCTCCTATACTTACTCTCAAATTCTCTTTCCTCTCTCACATTGTCCCAATTAGTCAAATAATAACATTTAGTTAAATCAGTTTTTGGTGTTTATAATATTATGACTTTGTAAGTATTACGACTGAGTCTTGTAGTGTATGTAACTATACTTACATACATTTTTGTTTTCTCTGGAGTTACTAACTGCCTTGTTTTTTCATTAGCTTACTTTTCTTTATAGCTATCACTAACCGTCCCAAAATATAACAGCCACGTGGTAAAGCTCTGTACATGCAGACACATCCGGTTGTCTTTGTCTGGCTATTGCTTGGTGATAGCCCTTGAGTCTTTCCCATTCCCTTCTGCTTTGACTCTCTTCAGTCTTGCTGTATCATGCTCAGTTTGAGGTTGCTTTTCCCTCTCGTCTCTCTGGGGTTGAAGTCCTTATTTTCTTGGTCATTTGTCTTCCTTTTTCCTGGTTTATCCTTTTGATCTGATAGTGCATATCCTCCAGTGGTTTCTGGAAAAAGGGGTATATGAGATGGTTGTTTTGAGATCAGAGTCTTTATTTCATTCACGTATGTGATTGGTAGATTATTCAGTTATGGAACTGTAGATCATGAGTTACTTCACCCTTGGGACTTTGAACGTGTCATACAGTCCTCTGTCTTACACCTTGAATGTTACTGTTGAGAGGCTCAAGGCCATCGTGGTCTCTGTGGCTTTATCTTTTTTTTTTTTTTTTTTTTTGAGACAGAGTCTCACTTTTTGTTGCCCTGGCTAGAGTGAGTGCCGTGGCGTCAGCCTAGCTCACAGCAACCTCAAACTCCTGGGCTCAAGCGATCCTCCTGCCTCAGCCTCCCAAGTAGCTGGGACTACAGGCATGCACCACCATGCCCGGCTAATTTTTTGTATATATATTTTTAGTTGGTCAATTAATTTCTTTCTATTTTTAGTAGAGACGGGGTCTCGCTCAGGATGGTTTCGAACTCCCAACCTCGAGCAATCCGCCCGCCTCGGCCTCCCAGAGTGCTAGGATTACAGGCGTGAGCCACCGCGCCCGGCCTCTGTGGCTTTATCTTGTGCAGGCCCTATACTCAGCCTCCACAGCTGGTGCACAGACTTAGTCCCTCCTCTGTGGGCAGTAATGGCACCCACTGTAAAAGTGACCACTCTTCAGTCTTGCTGTGAGTGTTACCTCCTTGCTGGAATATAAATTGAGGCCCAAAAAGGTGGGTGCCTTGCCTTGGCCACACTCAGATGTGCTCGTACTGCCCTGCTGTCTCCTGTGTCCCAGGACACATGAAGGAGTTGCCCCAAAAGAACACAGTTGCTTCATTTAGTGCGATGAGGTTTTATCTCTTTTTATTTTGAAAGTCTTGCTCTGATGCCTAGGCTAGAGTGATGTCAGCCTAGCTCACAGCAACCTCAAACTCCTGGGCTCAAGCGATTCTCCTTCCTCAGCCTCCCAAGTAACTGGGACTACAGGCATGCGCCACCATATCCGACTCATTTTTTCTACTTTTAGTAGAGACAGGGTCTCGCTCTTGCTCAGGCTGGTCTTGAACTCCTGACCTCAAGCAATCCTGTAGCCTCAGCTTCCCAGAGTACTCAGCTTCCCAGAGTACAGGCGTGAGCCACTGAACCTGGCCTTTCTCTCTTTTTTAGTGTATTCTTTAATGTAGTTAGGCCTGCTTTTGTAATGATTATTGTCATTTTTTTAACATTTAGATTTTATATTCTGTCTTCCTGCTAGGACTTTCCCTGGTTCACAGTACAGAGATAAGTGTCTTTATATTTGTCACAGATCTCCAGGGAAATTAATTTGACCATCTTTTTGGTAGTTTATTCTTTTCCTATTTTTCCCCTAATTAGCATTCTCCTCATTTTCTTAATTGGCTTTGTAGAAGCTTTGCTCTGTCATTTGACCTCCAGGCATAGTAGGCATGAAAATATACACTTCAAAAATTGTTTTCCCGGCCAGGTGCGGTGGCTCACGCCTGTAATCCTAGCACTCTGGGAGGCCGAGGCGGGCGGATTGCTCGAGGTCAGGAGTTCGAAACCAGCCTGAGCAAGAGCAAGACCCCGTCTCTACCATAAATAGAAAGAAATTAATTGGCCAACTAATATATATAGAAAAAAAATTAGCCGGGCATGGTGGCGCATGCCTGTAGTCCCAGCTAGTCGGGAGGCTGAGGAAGCAGGATTGCTTGAGCCCAGGAGTTTGAGGTTGCTGTGAGCTAGGCTGACGCCACAGCACTCACTCTAGCCTGGGCAACAAAGTGAGACTCTGTCTCAAAAAAAAAAAATTGTTTCCTCATTATTTCACATTAGTGCCTGAATGACCCAGTCTAAAAATGGAACAAAGTCAAATTTTATAGGAAGCCAGTCTTACCCCAGTCTCAGCTGGGTACATTGTGAGTGAAAACTGTATTTGGTAGGGTCAGAAATAAGTGAGTTTCGTCGGCACAAGAGTGATACCACTAATTGATTTAACCAATGGGATTTAGAGCATGTGCCTTTACTTGAGTCCCTTTCCTGTGGTCGGTCGTGGGCTGTGGTGACTTCGGGCAGTGCCCTCCACTCCACCAGATGGGATTCTGAGGTTGAACACCTACTACCTGGCTTTAGCAGCTGGACCCAGAGAATAGCCCACGCAGGTGGGTGCAGCCCCTTCCTGAGAGGTCAGGCCGTGATGATTCGTAGGAAAGACAGAGATCACTAGTGACAGCTACATGAAGGATCGCAGAGAGAGGACGTCACATCCCCAAAGAGAGTAGAGAGTGCATTGTATGAACGAAAAAAGAACAGGGTACAAATTTAAGAAAAGGAATATTCAGAGAACAAAAAGGGCTTTGGAAAATAAAAACTAGAAAATACAGGAAGTTCGGTAGAAAAGGTAGAAGATAAAGTAGAGGAAATCTGACAAAGGAAAAACTGGAGAGAGAAGATCCAGTGGTTAGAGTGGCTCTGGAGCCGCCCGCCCCCAGGTGGTGGACTGTGTGTTCTAGAGGCTGAAGCCTGTCAGAGGTGGCCCTTGGCACCCACAGCCGCTGTGGGAATCAGACCTCCATGTTGGTTTTGCAGCAGAAAGTTCCATGAGGGGGACAGTTGGAAGTGGGAGTTGACCAATCACTCAGAAATGGGACGGTGAGGGACACCATAAGCCTCCCTTTTCAATGTGTCAGAGGAAGAGCTGGGAAGGAAAAGCACAGCCTGTGGATTGTCCATAGCTCTAAGCCACGCTGCCCTCACCCCCACCACTGTTCTTAGCCAGAGTTAGCAGCTGCAAGAAAAGGCACTTTGTGGGTGACTGGAGCTGCTTCTCAGCCCTGTGCTGACTCTTCCTTGAAGACGTTGCTGCCCCGGGTTTGGGAAGGGAAGGGGTGGAGGCAGTCCCAGCACCATCGTGGCCCACGGGGGCCATCTCTTGGATTGGCAGCTGTCTCCGGTGGTGGTCTGGGGACCCCCTGCCCATCTAAGAAGCTCTGCCTTAGTCTTCGCTCTCAGCTGCCAATGGTCTTCTCCCAGAGGGCCTTCGGTCATGACATCCTGCACACAGTAGCAAAATAACGTGTTTATGTGGTTTGGGTATTCCGTCCCTCCAAATCTGTTGAAATCTGATCCCCGGTGTTGGAGGTGTGGCCTGGTGGGAGGTGTTTGGGTCATGGGGGTGGGTTCCTTCTGAACCGCTTGATGTCCTTCCAGTCTTGTGTGAGTTCTGACTTTATTCTGGCTTTGTTAGTTCATGCTGCCAGAGCTGGTTGTTTGAAGGGCCTGACACCACCTCCTCTCTTTCTTTGCTCCCTCTCTCACTCACTTACATGATACCTGCTGCCCCTTTGCCATCTGCTTGGAGTGGGAGCTCCCTGAAGCCCTCACCAGAAGCAGATGCTGGCACTGTGCTTC